TGCAGCGTTTAATGTGTTTTGTATTCTGTTATTTATTATTTTTGTGAATATCTTGTTACAAAATTTTATATTTGAAGAATTTTTTTTATATTTTCAGCAATTAAAATAAAAAAATGGGTTATAAAACTGAAAAAATAGATATAGGAGGAATAAGCTACATATTTCTTCTGCGTTTTATAGTTCATTGCCTCTCATATTTTAATTTTTAAAATAATGTTACTATACGACACAAAGCGGTGTCGAAGATGTCTTATTGTCAGTCACCTGACTCTGAAATTAACATAATAAATACATAATAACGCGGTGCAATTGAATAACCGACGCAGAATGCACCGTACAACTATTGCCGCGAAACAGTCATCTTCAGACAATGGCAGGAAGTTCTACGAGATATTAAGTGACAATATATGTAAATAACGTGTCTTGCATTCTTTAGTAATTCAATAACGATATTTCTTAGTTTCACTCTTAAATAATGATATAAATAATTTTCTGAAATTTCTTCGAATTTTTTTTCTGAAATTTCTTTCTTTTCGAAAAAATCTTGTTCATTATATTGTTAAATTTGGTCTACTCAGAGAGCTGTGACTTTTTTTTGTCGAAATTTAAAAAAAAATTGTTTTGCTAAGGAATTTTAAATTTAGATAATGCATAATTTAAACACATCTGGGTGTTTTTTTTTATCAAAAATTGTTATACAGGTTAGCCCGAGCTGTATTCCGGAAACTTCAGCTTAAAAATAAGTAAAACTTTTTTACTTATTTTTATCTGCAGAATATGCTGCTGAAGTTTCCGGAATACAGTTCGGACCACCCTGTATATGTTACAGTAAAAACCATAAATCAGCGAACAATCGACAGTTACTATAAGTAAAAGCTAACATTAACTGACTTGCAACACTACCGAGGATCTACACCACTATGATGACAACAATAGACTTGGAAAGGTCGCAGTGGAATAGGCCGATAGCCACTTTGAAGGATCTAATCTTATCTGATAAACATTATGATCTATGATCTTTATCAATCAATGACAACAATACAATAAAACCCGAATATATTGTTTGCTACTGGCTATGTAAAAGGCCAGTGAACCTGTCCACCCGGGCTGGTTACTGCGGCACATTCCGTTTGGTGTCGGCCGTCATCTTCGTCGGCCGAATACAAATGATCGGCCGACATTTTAATTCGATAATGCCGAAGCCAGAAGGCGCGGTAGTACTTCGGATTGTACGGCGGTCTCATCATCCTGGTCGCCCTCCTTTAACCTACTTTCGACTGACCGAATACGGAAGGAATTTTCGGCACGAATGCCGAAGATTCCTTACACGGAACCATGTGTGCTATCCGGGTTGATTAAACGAAATTAGTGAGCATGTGATCAATATATATCGTCCCATTGCTACCAAAAGTCACTAACTTACTTTTTATTACTTCCGAGAAAAATGCGTCTAAAAATGAATTGCATTGCATAAAGATGTTATAGTTAGTAACTATTCGGTATTAAAATAAAACATAAATAGCCAGAAATCGTAGTTAATGACTTTTGCAATCGATTCTCCGCTTCAAAACATAGTTAGTGATTGAATTTGGTTGTTCGGAAAAATGTTTTAGTGACTTTTGGCAGCAATAGGACGATATGATCAAATATACATAATAATATAAGAACATTTATATTAGTTCTGTTTTTGTTTACGACAGTGGTCGTAAATATACCACACGATAATAGTAGAGAACTTTTTTTTCGGAAAATTTTCCACCAGTACTTTTTAACCAAACAATAGTATATTGCTTTATCAGGAGTAAAAATTACACTTTTTGTGGTGAGGACATGCAGCCGAGGCTCTTATTCCTGAATCCTTTCAAAAGAACTCGGTTTTGAAAGAACTCGGTCTCCTGAGTACAATAATATTTACCACACTTGTATTTTTTTAATGTGTTTAATATGTTTAAATGCTTTGGTTTTTGTTTTGGTACTAACATAAAAATTTTGTCAACACCCTGTATATTACTTTTCACAGTTAATTCTTGTATTGACTTTGAAAAATGTATTGCTTCCTAAATGTGTATACAGGGGTATCAAAAATTGCTGGTCTATTTTAAATATTTATTTTGCATAAAAACTTCGTTATTTCAAATACAACACTATGTATTTTTTAAAAATAAATCAAAGCAGATTTAAATGCTCCTTCAAATTATATTAGGGTTCCCCTATACCTATCTGGCACAGTTTTTGAATAAAAAGCGATTTTTCAATAAAATGGCAATCAAGATGGCCGGTGTGCCATGGCAATTTGCTTGTGACAGTTAGTAGCTATTTTCAAAATCAACATTAGTTTAAGGACTTTATTTAAACTTATAACAGTTTATTTTATTTAATTTACCTACAATAGTTTAATAAGTAAGTATTTATTATTTTTCAAGAAAAATAAAGAAGCAGTTCTTTTTGATTTATATTACGATGACTTGTAGATATATCGGATTTTCTATAAAAAACAATTAAGGCAAATTCAATTTCTTCACTTCCAACGACTTGTTTCTGCGTAATAGGTTTTTCACATACACATATTTTACAACCACACTATCAGCTCTGTGAAATAGGAAAAGTAGTATTTCAAAGGAACTCTTGTTAAGAAAATTCCTATTTGGATATCTTTGAGCATAAACCCTTCAGGCCAATAAGCAATTGTTCTCACAAAATAAAATCTCTAGTAACATATCCATTCCTTCCAATACAAGATACTGCTTCATTTTTCTTGATAAAATAAAAAATATTTACTTATTAACCTTATTGTTATGTAAATTAACCTGAATAATATTAACACTACACTTAATATTTTTTTTGTTTCCAACATTTGAAAACAATATATTTAAACTAATTTCAAATCCCGCTCTGTTTTTTTAATATATTTAATCTGTTCATCGTTACAATATTGATTAGTTTTTAAACTTAACAATGACATGGGGTAACACAATGAATACGGAAAATCAAATGCAGTAAAATAATATACAGGGTGTTTCAAAACAAATGCGAAAAACTTTAGGGGGTGATTCCTTGTTCAAAATAAAGGGTAGTTTGCTTTATAAACGTTGGGTCAAAAGTCAACCATTAGGGAGATATCGCGGTAAAAAGATGGCGGAAAAATAATGTTTTTATTTTTTATCTTGAAAACGAAAAGAGATAGACTAATGAAATTTTACGGAAGCATTACTCTTATGAAAACACACTTTCAGGTAATTTTTTTACTTTTTTAAAATGAGTGGAAGGGGTTGAAATAAACTACCCCTATCATTCTTGTTAACGAAATTTAAAGAAAAACCTTATCAAACACATGCAAATGCTTTAATTTGGATAGTTTAGTTTGTTGAGAAACTTTTTACCTCTTGTGTGTTTTTTTGATAAAACTCACCGATTGGAAATTAAAAAATAAAATGTAAAGCATTACATGTCAGGACAAAAACATTTTTAGATTAAGAATCTAGTGATAATAACGATAATAATAATCATCTAGATAATAACGTATTGCAGTAGAGTAATGTCAAATAAAATAATATTAGGAACATCCTAAAAGTAACAGCGGCCGACAAGATTTTTTCCCTAAAAAATTACAGTAGCCCACTAGATTCTTTATCAGAAAATGTTTTTTGTCCTGACATGTAATGCTTTACATTTTATTTTTTAATTTCAAATCGGTGAGTTTTATCAAAAAAATACGAGAGATAAAAAAGTTTCTAAACAAACTAAACTATCCAAATTAATTTTTTTGCATTTATTTGATAAGATTTTTCTTTAAATTTCGTTAACAAGAATGATAGGGGTAGTTTATTTCAACCCCTTCCACTCATTTTAAAAAAGTGAAAAAATTACCAGAAAGTGTGTTTTCATAACAGTAATGCTTCCACAAAATTTTATTAGTCTATCTCTTTTCGTTTTCAAGATAAAAAATAAAAACATTATTTTTCCGCCATCTTTGTACCGCAATATCTCCCTAATGGTTGACTTTTGACCCAACGTTTATGAAGCAAACTACCCTTTATTTTGAACAAGCAATCACCTCCTGAAGTTTTTCGCATTTGTTTTGAAACACCCTGTATAATAAATAATATAAATATAATATAAACAATCAAATCATTTCCCTGGAAGATGGATTGGAAATGGTAGGGCAGTATAATGACCAGAGCGGTTCCTGTTGTTTCCAGGTCCGGTTTGTTTCCAAGGGGCGGGGAGGGGGCATTACTTGACGTCTTTTGTAAAAGTGAAATCAATACATCTCAACATTTACAATAAAGAGTACAAAATGCATTCGGAAGTATAAGAAAAAGATCTGTTCAGAGATGTATAAATAAAATTGAACGAAAAATAAATTTGTGCAACAGGGAGGGTGGTAACCCTTTCGAACATGTACATCATTAAAAACCAGTTTGTGGAAGTTGATTTATTTGTAATAACTACGATTAATATTATGCCATATTATTATATCGTATACTCAGATTTCAAATTCACAATAAAACAAATAAAATAATATCTTTAAATTGCTGACCTAGATATTATTTATTTGAATCTTTCATTTGGCTCGATTTTCCCTACTCAATGTTAATTACCGCTGATCAATATAGTTGCGATGAATATAATGGGATTAAATAATTTAAAAAAGCAGATTCGGACTTGAAATTATTTTATATAATAATTAAATAGTTTTGTTGTTGTTATGGTACTCAAAACAAAAAAAAAAGTTTAAAGTGTGGCACATCGTTGTACTCGGGAGACCAAGTTCTTTCAAAACCTGAAATAAAAAATGCAGGTCCAAATTTAAAAAAATTAAGTTGGCCTCTGTATCTCACAAATTATCAGCTAATTTGAAAATTTAAAAATACTATCAGGTAGCCTTAATAAAGTGGCTATGAAAATGTGCAATTGGTTTTTTGATTTTCTAAAAAGTAACAATAGCAAAAAATAAAATTGGTTTAAAAAAAACAATACTAATAATACCAATGCCATACCTCGAATTTGTAGCACCCTGTATACTACACATTGGTTTTGATTTAACTATTTCCTGAAATATCACCACACATATATCTACAGTTTATTTCAGTCACTTTCTTTATCTTAATACCCATGATTTCCTTGATCATAAAAATACACCCCATCAGTTGCAAGAAACGTATTACCATAAAACCGCGTTGATAGCTGTTAATCTCAATTATCAAGCAATCGCTGTTTAGAAATCACCGTCAAATAAAACACGAAAAAAAATAGTACTAAATCTGAAAGTAATACTAAATCACTTGCAAAAAAAATATTTGAAATAAATAACATCAATTACGGAGATTGATATTAAATATCCGAGAACGCGACAACGGAGTAAAAGTAAACTGGTATTTGAAATACACGATTGCATTAAATATGTGAATGTTAGTAAAACTGTTACTTGATTTTTTCATCCGGTGACAAATTATTCCACACACGCGGTGGAATTTTTGATATACTGAATTCGATTTTTCTAAAATGCTATATAATTTCAGTGACATTTATAATATATGAGCGTGTGAGATAATTATCCCAAGTAGCATTTTTGGACACAAAATCTCTCCTAAGAAACATTGCGAAACAGTTTCGAAACAATGATGGTGTTTGTGTCAAGACACAAAAGTTCTGAAATTAGTTCGACACATTTTTGATACATATGTTTCGTAACATAAATCGTTTTTTGTTTCAAAACATTTTCCCAAAATATGGTTTCGCTACATAAGAATAAAGATCTTAGTGTCACAAATTTTCCGAAACTTTTAAGAAACAGACGTGGCTCACATTTACAAATTTTCCGTACCCTTTTGTGCCTGAAAAGTTTTCATAATTTATTTGACATTCTGTCAAATATGAAACCTTACTTTGTTGTTTGGATTTTGTCCTGCAATTTTTGCAAAAAAATGGGGAAAACTTAACAATTTAAGCAAACAAAACAACTCCTAGAGCACAAAAAGAACCTAGTACGCATAATTATTGTAGGTGTCATCACTGGAAACTACCCCACGGGGGTAAACCTCGTGAGATGAAATATTTCCAACGATGACTACTGCAGAGAATGCGGAGAGGAAGTAGAAACCATAGAGCACCTGCTGTGCCACTTTCCGGCACTGGAATACCGACGCTTTAGAACTTTAAGCGTCGATTACACGGAGCGAGTTTACACGCCGCTAGTGCGCTTGTATACTATCTCGCTAGTCCGAACACGGCGTGTAAAAAAGCTACCATGATTGCACGTGGCTAGTAACAAGCCGTCCCAAGCTTGCGAACCTGTTGTGTTGTTATCTTGTTTCCAAAATGGAATGCATGTTTTATGTTTTAATTGTATTATAATAAGTAAATAAATAGTATATTAAACAACGAGTTTCGAAAACGACGTTTTGCACACGAGTTCGACAGTTTGTTCGAGACAGTTTCGAGACAGTTTGTTCGACAAGTCGAACGAGTGTACAAAGAAGTTTTCGAACGAGTTTTTACGCTATTTTTTCTTTTTCGACTACAGATTAGCAGCAGGCTCACTCAGTTTTTGCCAGTTTTGTGAAATAATTTGCGATGTAATGATGACACTTTTCTGACGACTGCGTTGCGTTTGGCGTTTCAGCTAAACATTGGAGGTTAAAAATGTTAAAATTGGCAGATGTCGTGTGAAAAATGACACATGTCGTGCGCTAAATCCTTAGCACACAACAGTTTGCAAAACGCCAATTTCAGATCGAGTTTTCCGTGTGTCAAACTGCATTTTCTAGGCTAGTCGTAGAAAAAAGTGCTTTAATTATTTTGACCAGAAGTTTTGATTGACGTTGTTGACAAGTGACTAGTTCGAAATTTCTATACAGATAGCGCTCTTTGATTCGCTGCCACCAAATACGTTTTAATAAAATATACGGAGAGTACCGCTTAAATTCCTGTCCCGATGTTGAAGGATGGCTATAGAATGTCAATGCATTTCCTACATAAGTCTATCCTTGTTCGGGAGGAGGTTTTCTGCGCTTCTCGATCTGTAAGCACTTTGATTGGACAGTTCCAAATCATATGATATGTTTTGTTTTGGTTTTATTTATTTTAAGTTGAGGTTAAAGACGTTCTAATAATTGAATTAAATCTTTCGAAAAATTGGAAGTTTTTTGTTAAATATTCTGAAATCAAATAAGTTTGATAATGTAACATTATGCGCATATTTATCAATTGAGATATTTTAATCGTATCCAACATGTTATGGCAAAACACTTTTTCAACCAAAAGTTTTCAGATATCTTCGATTTAGTTATTTTCGAATGTTTATTTTGTTTATATCTATTACAAACTCAAGGAGCAACAGTTTTTTACAAGTAGTGTTAATTTTGATGCTGGTGCAATACTTCTACTCGTTAAAATAAGTTTATTATAAATATTACAGACATTTAAAAAAATAGGCTATGGAATAGGTATATAAAAATTATTTTATATCTGTCTCACAATGGGGGGCTCCTAGTAGCGTAATAGGTATCTGCAGTGCGATTCTGTAAACATTTCCCTGTCTAGTGACTCATCAATCGTATACAAATAGCATAGGCTCGATAGGAAATTTCTTGCTACAGAGCTTACAGAATCCCATTGCTGATTTCTAAAATTCTTTTTCTAGATAGGCTTCCCGCATCGAAAAACTCCTATTTTATGGTATGTAATTAGTATTCTGAAGGTATTAAAATATTTTAATATCAATATAGTTTTTTCACTGAAACTCGAGTTAAATCTTAATATACATTATTCATATTGTCGTTTTAGAGATTGTGCTTTTATACTTACTATTATGAAAATTTACTGAATAAAATATATAGTTGCAATCCTTTTACTGAACTCCTTAATTTCTTGTTTTATGAGGGGATAATTTTTGCTTATTTAGGTACTAATTTTAATCAGACCATTTTTTAATGAACTCATTTATATTTATATCATATCGTTCTAAGTAGACTTTGTTGTGTTAGACAATTATTATTAAATAAAACGAATGAAAAAAAGTGACAGGTACGATATTTTTTTTTTAAATTCAAAAAATAATTTAGTAAAACCACAATTATTAAGAAATTGTCTTAAAAACTTCGTAGTACAAATTGCATATCTATTTCACTTTTTTTAAAATTCAAAAAATAATTTAGTAAAACCTCAATTAAGGAACTGTCTTAAGAACTTAGTATTACAAATTGCATATCTATTTCACTCGACTTAAAAATTGCAGCAAAACAAAGTATAACAGTACATTTTTTACTGTCTATTGTTTCTTTTACTGCCCATGTATTTATGATCAATAATCAACATCAGTCCTGGTTTAAAATGAAACAAAAGTAATTCTTTATTATTAACATATTTTTTATTAAACAAATATAACTAAAAGTATGTACATATTAAGTTTATACATAAATCAAGCTAGATACAAAAAATATAATTATTTACATTGTTGCATTGTAATACTCTTTTATATTATGAAAAAAACAATAATAATTTACAATAAGACAGTCTGTGTGTAACTGTGTAAGCATTATAATTAGCCTTATGTAGTCTCTATTTTTAGTCTTTACATTATAATGTCATTTTTATTTTAAAATAGTAAGACTAAATATAATGCTTTTAACAATTATTGATTTTTGAATAAAATTAGTTTCGTATATTTTTGTCTTATATTAACATCCCTTTCATTTCTGATTTTGCTTTCATGAAACAAACGAACATCGAGAAAAATTTCTATTATTAATTTGGTTAGTTGGCTTCTACCACACAAAAAGCAGTAGCCCATTCGCATTGTTCTATTAATTAAACTACAGCAAAAGTCTTTAAAACTAAATCACAAAATTGTCAATAAACGCACAAAGATTAAAATACAAACGAAAACACAGTACACGTGGAAAACACAGAAAGTTAGAGAAAACACTAATGGCGACTGCCCAAGTCCAAACTGAAAACAAAACGCCGACGACGCGTCCAAAAATAAATCGATAACCCATCTCGACACCATTCGGCCAATAGAAAAGTAGCATTTCGGCGCATGTGCATTACATCCAGCTACTGAACAAGGATGGACTTATGTCAAACTCGATCTTCTGTCCTTCAATCCTGGGACATAAATTCTCTCATTGCTCTTATGGGGAGGCCGCGGTATATGTAAATTTAAATGTATTTGGCTGTCACTAAGCTGTGACTGCTTGGTCGTGGACGTTAGTGCGCGTGGTATCATTTGATTTAATGGTTATACTGGTTGCAGCAACTTGGCCGTTGGCTGGTCGCTGTGACCTGGACGTCAGTGCATTTGAGCTCTAAATCATTCATGTTTCGATTAATCAGACATTCGTACCACAAGTACCTAGTTAATTACCAATTACTTCGATAAGTGACGTGGTTGCAAATAAAACAGTGTAAAATCCACGGGGGGTTTTGATTACTGTCTCGAAATTTAGATAATCCGACGACAGTGATAAAACACTTCTCTGCTCGGTATGTAATATACTATAAGTTATAGAGTTTGTTCATTTTTACAAAGTGATGAGAAAAAAAATCAAGAACTGAGAAAACAAGTCCAAACTACTCCCAAAAATTTCTTTATTAGTGACCGGTTTCGGCAATTCCAGCCATCATCAGACCTTTGTAAAAGACAGTTGTTCGTTTGACTTCAATAAGTCAAAGTCAACAGTTTACAAAGTAAAACGAAAAACTGTCTTGGACAAAGGTCTGATCATGGTTGGAATTGCCGAAACCCGGTCACTAATAAAAATAAATTTTGCAATGATTTCGACTTTGTTCTTGATTTTAACATTAAGTTTTTTAATATACTATAGGATTAATAAACGGGATGGCGAAAAATTCCCACATTTTACCAGTTACAACTTACAACTAATTTCATCAAAGTTGAATTTTCACATAAAACAAGCGTTTTTTTCTCTGTGTAAACTTTTACCTTTATTTTTACTACTATTGTTCACAGACTGAAGAGAGTCACAAACACAATTTCTTTTCATTTCCTCCGCGTTACACTGAACTAGAATTGTGTGTGCG